AAACGGCATCGCTTTCCCCCTGCGCCCCCGAAGCCCCCCTCGTTATCCTCACTGCACCCCCCCCAAAGGCAGCCCTGTCCCCCTCCATCACCAGCCGCCCACGAGAGCCACCGCCGGACAATGGCGAGCCAGAGGGCAGAGGAGGTTGCGTGGGGGCCGCCAGCCTCTCAAATATCACGCTTGGCTTGCGACTGGCTTTCGCCTTCCTTGTTCACAAAGCGGCCTCAGGTCTTCTTTCCTGCCCCCTATTTTAAGCCTTCTGTACGTCTTTTCCCACTGTCTCTCCCCGATCCCCAACCTCAACCCCGGGTCAACGTTGCAAAAAGCACTGGCACGGTCCCTCACCCCGTTACCCGGTGGGAGGAGGCTGCGCACAAATCCCTCCGTACCTCAACGCTCACGGATGCAGACACCCGTGTTACTTTGCCGTCTGCGCCCTCGTGGCCCGTTCCCCCAGGATTTCCAGCGCTCGGCTGAGCGCGGCGTTTGCGCAAACCGGCCTCCGAGATCTCAGCTGAGCCGTCGGCAAAGGGCGAGCGAGCGAGCAATGGGTTTAAATTAAAGGAGATGCCCAGCGCTGCGCTGCATCGAACTCTGTGGCAGGAGCTGGGCAGGCTCCGGTGGGGCGATGTGCTGCAGCCCTTCCCTTGGGATCTGAGGTACGGCTTGGTCCACGCTTCCAGAAACTTCCCGGACCCACTGAGGATGGCCAGCTTTGCTAGTCTTGGCCGGGAATCTGCCTATTGCATTTTCCCCGCTGCTCCTCCTCCAGGCCTACAGGGCTCCTCCATCCCTCCATTACTCCTCTGACTTCCTTGCCTGGGAGCAGACCAAACCAAATTTGTTGCCCTGTCCTGCCTCACCGTGTCCAGCATCAGTTTTGTCCTGTTACCTGCCCGTCTCTCCTGTCCTGCCCTCAATGCTGGGCTCCCCGCAGCGGCCCCCATTTGCATTTATAACACCTCCTCTCCCACCAGTAACCCGCCTGCATCCTCCCTGGCACACCCATGACCGCTGGAAGTCCTAACTGGATTTCAGTCCCTCCCATACTGGCTAAGGGTGGGAAGCAAAGGGAGCTTTCCTTCTCCTTCTGTCACCTCCTTTTTAACAGTTTTCCTCTTCTGAGGCAGCTGTTCCCTTGCTCTGCCTCTGACCCGAAAGGCTGAGCCACGTCGAGCAGCGTCAAGGGAGAGGAGGGCAGGAGATCCTCATCCTCCAAAAACCCTCGCTGCAACAGCAGCCTGTAGGGAGCCATGCGCCCAGCAGCAATACTACCAAATAAACAGCCAGGGAAAAGGGAAGGACAGACGGCCAAGAGGGATCCCGGTCAAAAAGCTTGTTTTGAAGCAGCAGCTCCAGCTCGCAGACCTCCCAGCACGTGCCCTGGAAACCATCGCTGACTCCCTTCTGCCTGCTGCCACCTTCCTTCACCCACCCTCCCCGCCGCTGCCACAGCCGGCATGCACAGCAAACCGTGTTTTTTTCTGCCAGCATCCTCCCCCCTCGCACCCCCCCTGATTTTAGCCCCCGTACCCGCCAGCCTGTTCGCAGTCCCCTCCTGTCGCAGGCGAGCAGGATCCAGCAGCGGGGCGATCTGCTGCTGCGCGCAACCGGGGGGAGCACGGGCAAGAGCAACCCCACAAACCGTGGAGCAAGTGCTCTCCCAAGCTCTGCTTGGCCTGCTTCTGTCCTGCCGGGGAAACCCGGCGAGCAGAGCTGATTAATGACACGCCAGCGGAGGAAGGCATCACCATCCATCAGGAGAAGCTCCTTCACCGGGAGGCCAGCGTGGCGCCGGAGCAGGTGGCGGGATCTCCGTCCTCGGCGGTCCTCAGGGCTCAGCTACGCAAAGCCGCAGCGATGTGACCTCGTGCTGGGACAGCCCTGCTTGCAGCTACGGACCTCCAGAGCCTCTTCCCATCTCCTGGAGAGGACAGGGCAGCCTGGAGCCTCCTTTTTTTCCTAGCTTCCCTTCCTCGGGATACTTGCTGGGATAAAGGATTCCTCCTGAGACGGAAGATGGCTGGGGCAAAGGGCCAACCTCTTCTAGTTACTCCTGAGGAAGCCCAGCGCCTAGAGACAATCCTGCTACCCAGGGGACCACAACACTCCTCCACCTCACCCCAGCACAACAACTCCTCCTCCTCTTCCTCATCTTCCCTTCTTGGTTCACCAAAACCTCTGTCACTTCTCCAGACCCTCCAACAGCTCCAGCCCGGAGTTCATCAGCTCGGGCTCAGCAGTGGCACTGCTGGACCCGACCTGCTGACATCCAGAGCTGCAGCTCTTACAATTGTACCCGTAGCCAACGTCAAAACAGACGCTTATTCGCGAACGTGCTGATATTTATCTTGCTTCCACAGATTTTAAGGCCGAGAAAAAAGCACTGTGTTTTCTGACCCCGTGCAAGACACAGTGCAAATTTCTGTGGCTAACCACCTATTAAAATGGCAGGCCTTGCCTCTCATTTGAATTTGCCTGGCTTTAACATCCATTGCCAGTTTGAGATGCTCCCCCTCTCCCAGATTACGGAACCTCTTACTAGCCAACGCATCCTCCTTGCAAAGGTGCTTCATAGGTGAAACCTGTTCAAATTAGCTCCACAGCTTTCCTCGAGGGTCTTTTTTTAAAGCATAAGTCACAGTAGTAACCCCACCTCCCTGCTCTCCTTCGCTCCGAGTACCCCAGTGCTACCTTCTCCCTTGTACCACACTGCTGGAACATTTCAGCGTAAACTCTCCAGGTCTTCCAACTTCCAGGATGCTTCACTAAAACTGACCCCTAAAATTGCTTCTAGTCCCAGAGGCAGGTGCTGCGATGAACATGCAACTTTTGGGCACCTTGCTGCCTAGCAAAGCCGGCAGCCCAGAGTTAGCTGCCTAGATTTGGGTGTGAATGGGGAGAAATTGGCACAGAGGAGCAGCTGCCAACAGAAGCTGGGTGATCACCACACTAACACACACAGAGAAATGTCCCTGCCTAACAGCAAAGGAGGGAATGGGATTTTCTCTTAAAAAAACCAGACGCCAGTCCAGGAAGGAGTTTTGTAAGCCAGGTCTTGCATGTGAAGCCTGTTCTAGGTAGTACAGCCAAAAGCCAGGGACCTAACTGACCTTACTCTTCTCAGCAATTCCCCTACATCAGGCAGGCACGACTCGCAGGCATCCTCTTCGGGGGCTCTCCGCATCCTAGCAGGGATGGACAGCTCGGGGGAGCAAAACTTACTGATGTGAGCTTGGGCATTTGTGGGTTCAGCCCCTACAAAAGCGTATATATCTGTGGAGTTACGTGCAACGGGGTGTGTGCTCGAGGATCTGAATTTTATACCCAAGTGCCTGAAATGTGCAGTGCAGGATTTCAGTCCCTTCCTCTAGATACAGCCTGACACGAGACGCGGAACAGACATTACAGCATATGACATCACTGGAATTAGCGACCGACCCGCATTGCTGCTGGAGTCTCTTCTCGTTCCATTACGCACTATTGTCCCCAGAAGTCTCCGGTTTCCTTCCTCCGCCGTGCCGAGGGTGCAGCAGCGCAGTGCCCGGCGTCTCCCTCCCGCTTTGCAGAGGTGAGCTGGCCGCGCTCCAGAGCCCGGCAGGCAGGAATTGCCAGCTGGCCGTCCTAATTGTACCCTGATAAGGCTCCTCTGGTAGACTTGTTCCTCTCTGTTTTGGGGAGAAGGGTGTGCAGAATCCCCACCGAATTCAAGATCTTACAACGCGCGTGGTATTTCTCCCGCCGCGCTGGCTGTCATTAATGCAGGACCTCACCTCTCCCATGCACCACGTTTGTTTTGCACGGTTCTGGCCTTGTTTGGCCTAAATAACTTTACAGCACGTGGCAGCTCTATCACAGAACTGCTTACCCTTTTTTTTTTTCCTCCAAGACATTAAATGCCACCTCAGTCACATTTGTGCACAGCACAGTGGAACGGATATCATGACACATTACACTGACTTCTCTCAACCAGCTTTTAATTTACGACTGCGTTTTTACTCCTCAGATCTGCTTTCAACCCTTGCTTTGCCTCAGTTCTTGCTTTTGCTCTGCCTCAGCTCTCGCAAGCCACGTTATCGGCAGCTTTCAGATATTCAAATACGTTAAAGGAAGGTGCTGAAAGATGATCCAGTAGTCACGTTTTCCAAAAATCTCAGCTTTCAGCTAACAAAAAGATTCCCAGAGTAAGAAGGCAGCTGCAAACGCTAGTGTGACCAGCAGCCTCGTACCAGAACGCCGCGGGAAGCCACCAATCTTCGTCCCCAGCTGCTGCGTCCCCAGCACTGCCTCCGAAGCTCGATGGCAGCAGCGTTTCAATGTCACGCTCAACACTCTCTCCCTGAGCAGTGGTAACTGCAATGGCCGAAATAAAGAGCAGAAGGGGAGCGAACCACCGAAGAGAGCTGAAAGTTTCCTTTGTCTCTCCCCAGCTGTAGCACAAGGTTTGCAGGCAAGCAAAGCGAGTGGAACGGTGCTCGGTAAGAGAGGAGTTTTATTGACGTGGTTAAAGCAGCATCTATTCCCACCTTTCGGAGGGGACTGACGTGATCTGGAAATCCACTAGAAACCAGACGGTTAAGTTGGGATCCCAACCAAGAACTTTCTATCCCTGCTGCGGGGGTTATCAAGATAAACGGGTTATCAAGCCGAGACTATGCGCTAGCATAGGAACCTCAACAGGCAGCAGCAGCAAAGCGGGAGAGGTTAGCATCGCTCCTGAACGGGCAGGCTCACGGCTTGCCAGAGGTAAAAGCCCTTCTAGGTACAAGTCACCCGACAGCTGGAAGATTGCCATACGGCTGCAGTTTTGAGTTGTATGCTTAAAATGCTGTCTTTCATCACTCCTGGGGAAATCTGCTAGAACTGGAAAAGAAAGAAGGCTGGAGGATATATATATATGTATATAAAATACAGCTGGGTTTTCAAGCTGCGTAAGCTTCTAGCATCCACCGTATCCTGCAGAAAGGAGTTTCACAGCTACCTACACCTTTGGTGCATTTGGTGGGTCCTACGGTTTTGGGGTTTTGTGTTTATTGGAAAAGAACAAGCAGTTGTTCCTCATTCATCTTCTCCACGCCACTAACAATTTTACACATTGTTATATCACTTCTTTCCCCATGGTCACTTTTTCCAAGCTTAAAGAGGCCTAGATTCCAGCTGTTCCTCTCACAGAAACCATTCCATAGCTCAGGATGTATTTGTCCTCCCTGAACATTTCCCAGTTTTACAATCCCTCCTCAGATGGAGAGCATTAGAAACCCAGTATTGAAGTGCACACACAGGGAGGTAATTTTATACAGGGAGGCAATCATTTTCTCCATTTTGCTATCTAATAATTCCTTTCCTAATAGCACCTAGCATTTATTTAATTTTTTCTGAAAGACCCTGGAAAACGTCCCTTGGGACCAGGCAATCCAGAGCCCCCACCACACAAGCCTGGAGTGAGATGGTCGCATTCAGAGGCTCCTCCCTGCCCTAATTCACTGGGAAGCATGGGGAAAAAGTAATTTTCAACTACAAGGATACTTGGTTAACGGCTATTCAACACAAAAAGACAGAGTCAACCCCCCCCCAAAACCAGAGTCATAATAAATTCAACACACAGATACATAAGCCCTAAAAAGCAGAAGATAACACGGGCTGTAACAAAGACCGGGACTCCTGAGACACTGACAGATTGAACCATTACAGAAACCACTCAAGCGCAACCCTGAAGAGCTTCAGCCAGAAACTTCACAACTGATAAGAAAGCAAAATTATCGTAGGCTTCATGGGAAAGAGCAAATTTATTATGGGATGTTTGAGGGGAATTGTGGGACTGCGTAAAGTTCATCATGCAATGTTTCAGGGAAGATTACGGGAGCAAAACTTACTATGGGATGTTTAGGGGAAGGATGGAAGGAGGGGAAAGAGAAGCATGAAGCTAGATCAGGGAGAAGCGCACATGGGAAATGGAGAGGAGGAATAGAAGGGGCCAGTCACACAGAGACCGGCTGGTGGTCTGTGTGCCTGTCTGGCTAAGCCCTGCACCCCATTACCACCACCTGTCCTGGCCTCGTATTAAACTAATCCTAGCTGTTTCCTCTCCAGGCATGCGCATTTGTGATCTGCTAGCAAACGGTGAGCTGAACTAGCCCAGAAATAGGATAAGAGGTCCGTGAGCCAGATACCGGAGAGACCACAAGTCTGAGGACCAGCTACCAGCGATCCACAAAAGTGTGTGTGCACGATCCACTAGCATGCTCTAGGTTCGATGGGCCGGGGAGTAAGAACAGGATTAGGCCTTTTTTGCCATTCATGTTTTGCGAGTGCCATTTGTGTTTTCCTGGGCACCCGCCACAGCACTTTTCTTCAGTTTCTGCTAATCAGTCTGCGGCTGGTTGCATCTGTAGTATGTGTGCATGTGTCTGAGGGAGTTGCTGGAGTTCGCACTCAGCCTCACCACTTGCTGAACCTGGTAATATGGGAAAGCAGCAGCCTCACACGTAGCAGACCAGGACAGAAAGGATTCCCCGGATCTTACAGTCCACTGTGCTCAGCTGTCCTTAACACCAAACACTGGAACAGCGCATCAAGTTCTCCCATGAACCCAAAGCTTGGCGAGGAAAACGAATCAAGGCAAAGCCTCACATAAGCTGAGCCAGCAAGACAATTACAGAAACAAGAGTTATGGCTCAGGTCTGTTACACACCAAACTCCACGCACACTGTGGTGGAACAGAAGCTGGAGAGCACACTTAGTAGAAAGCTTATTAATGAATGGTCTCTAGAAAAAGATTTATTCACTGGAGAGCAGAACCAAAGAAGAGACTATCAACTCACTCTGACAAGGGTAAAGGACCTGGGCTGACGTTTAAACAGAAACAGCCCAGACCACTGCTTGTTACATCTCAAGGAGAAGCAACCATATCTAGGTGAACAAAAAGGCAAAAAGAAAGAACGTGATTGTACAGCTCCAGGACCAGCCGCAATCCCTGCTGCAGCCCGGGAGGCCAAGAACCAAGAGACTGCTGGGGACCAGCACAAGGGTGAAACGGGGACGATCGCAACAGTGACCTGGATTAGCACACAGTGACAACAGGGAACTAGGGACCAGCACGGGACCGCTGGCCTATGAGCTCCAGCCCTGCCCCGACGAACCACTCCGCTGACAGGCACCACACAATACACCCTTCATCCAGGCAGCTAGGATTTCAGCTCCCGCTCCTTCTTCACAAACATCCATGTTGCAGAGCGTTAAGAACAGACACCAGAAATGCCAGAGCATCAGACAGGAACGGACGGGGTTTCTGTTGCAGACGAGTAAGGGGACACAGCAGAATTCTGTATTCTGTGTTCAAGGGAAGAGGACAAGACCCGAGCGAGAGTATAAAACTTTTAATGGGTCTGTGCGTCAGTCCTTGATGCATAAGGAAAGGAGCAAATGGGGCTATAGCTGTCCCGGGTGCTCAGTGCTGCAGAGATTATCCGCACAGAGCAGGAAACACAAGGCAGTAGACGCATAGCTGCAGCAGCCTCCCACCTTTGCTCTCCGAGGGGACCAACACCCGGAAAAGCAGTTCCTCTCACTGTCCGTTCAGCTTCACTCTATGCTTCTTCCTGGTAGGGACTTGAGGACGCATCATTTTGGGAGAAGGACGGCCAGCCTTCAGTGGTCTCCTCTGTGCCTGCAGTGAACGTCTCTTCTTCAAAGCAGGCTGTGGCGGCTTCTGCTCTTTGTCAACTTTTGATCCCTCAAGTTTCCTCTTTTTTGTCTGAGGCTCCCTGACGGTATCAGGGACAGCAGATGGAGTTGCTGCTTTCACAGCAGGTTCTTCATCTGAAACGAGAGAGAAAGGTGCTGTAAGAAGAACTTGCATGGATTCTGCAGGGGAAGCAGCCTGTGAGAGCAGGCCCAGGCAGCTCGGCTGAGCGCCAGCACTAGGTTACCTTTTTGCGCCTGGGGGATGGCATTAGAGAATTTCTTGAACTTGGCAATGAAGAACCCATCCATATTGTGCGTGTGGGGATAGAAACGCCGCGTAGACTTGAGGGAGGGGTGGAAGCGACGGTCCTTGAACCTGGAAGAGGAAGCGGGGTGAGAAGTGACGGAACGCCTTTGCTCAAACCTGGCCACTAAAGGAACAGTCACCTGTGCAGGTGTGACCTGGCACGCACCTGGTGAAGCCTTCCTTGCCAAAGTCCAGGCCTGTGGCCACCAAACGAACGTTGCGTTTCTTCAGGGCATAATCCACAACCCACTCATTCTCCTCCACCTACCAGAGACTAAGCATTAGGATCCAAAGCTCGCCAGTCCCCTGAGTAGCAGATGATCACAGCAGAGCGTGGAGGGGACTTACCATGATGGAGCAAGTGCAGTAGACAATGTAGCCCCCCGTCTCTGAGGCAGCATTGACCGAATCTATAGCACTAAGAATCAGCTCCTTCTGCAGGTGAGAACAGCGCAGGATGTCTTTCTCATCCTGAAAGAGATAGATAGGTTAGGATGCCAGAGGCACAGGGAAGCACCCCAGACCTCTGTTGTGGATGGGGGGATGACAGGAGAGCAAAGCACATATGATATAGAAGGTTCTGGAGTCTTCTGCTGAGCTAACCTTAAAAAACCTAGCCCTGGTACAACATGCAGAATAAAAAAGAGAAAGAAAAAAAAGTGTGTCTCTATTGCAGGCATCTCTCAAGAACAAAGCTGCCCTGAAGTTCTTCCTCTCATGACATATACTTGAGTCCCCATCTTGTGTCCCCACTGGTCACTTACCTTGTTGGTTTTGACAGCAGGATCCTTGGAAATGACGCCTGTTCCACTACAAGGAGCATCAAGCAAGACACGGTCAAACCCTCCAAGCACCTACAAGCAGATGTACATTTGGAATTATGCTCACAGGTGAGAACTCAGAACAAAACCAAGACTAGAAGGGGAACCAGAAGACCAGGAAGGCAGGAAAGATCTCTCACTCCTCCCTGTCCACCTTCCTGTCTCCATATCAAATAACAAATACACTCCCCAGCAGCTCTGCTCATCCTCCTGTGACAAATGGCTTTGGAGAACACAGCTTTACTAAAGGGACAGCACAGCAGCTCTAGGTAAGCACGGTAAGGACACCCCAAAGCAAGCAGGAACATACCTTGGGGAACTGGCGTCCATCGCAGTTACTCACTACAGCATTGGTGACTCCCAGCCGATGCAAGTTCCCTACCACGCTACGTAACCGCTCAGCGTTGCTGTCGTTGGCCAAGATCATACCTGTGTTCTTCATAAGCTGAGCTGCCGGAGAGCAAAACACATCAGCAAGGGGCTGAAAACCTCCTGCACTTTTGCCCATGGGGACAGCCACCCCCCTCCTTTCCCTGAGCTCAGTCCCCCTCTGTTCCCCCTTTCTGTATAGACCAGTGGAAACCCATCACTTTACAGAACATCCGTCCCTCCCAAGGCTTCATGGTGGTACCTATGTAGCTGGTCTTTCCTCCCGGGGCACAGCACATATCCAGGATGCGTTCGTTCTCCTGTGGAGCCAGAGCCATGACAGGGAGGAGACTGGAGGCTCCTTGCAGCATGTAGTGCCCAGCCAGGTACTCAGGGGTGGCACCTGGGCAGGGAAGGCAGAACAAAAGATGACGACATGTGAAAGAAAGGGAGCCAAGAGTGGGTCAGCTCAGCCCTGCGACAGGAAGGGTGATCTCACCAATGGGCACAGAGGAGTCATAAATAACAAGTCCCGTTTTCGACCACTTCCCCAAGGGGTCGAGATTCACGCCACGGTTGATTAGAGCCTGCAAGACAAGAAGATGGGACTGAGATGCCGCCTCGTGTGACAGGCGGCGCAGGAGATAACCATGGGTTCCTGCTCACCTGCGCCAGGTCCCGTCGCCGCGTCTTGAGTGTGTTGGTGCGAATGGTCACAGGGCGGGGAACCTCATTGGCTTCCAGAAAGTTTATCAGCTAGATGAAAGAAGGGACAGAGAATAGAGATAAAGATTAAGACCAGGGAGGCAGCCAAATCCTCGTCAGTCAGCAAAGACACGGGCAGGGCAGGATCCTACCTCAGGGAGCGGGAAGATGTCCATGAGCTTCATGAGCAAGAAATCACTGTAGGAATAGTAGGCAGCCATGTCCCGGCGCAACAACGCGAGGTACTCCTGTCGCGTTCGTCCTTCCTCCCGCTTCACCACAAAGTCCTGCAGCACCTCCATGTTGCCCTTGATGCGTTGGTGAATGATGTGCAGGTCAGGCGGCTCAGCAGGTAGAAAGATCATTAAGGAGTCATCAACAGCCAAGACACTCACGCACAGGCTCTTTACAAGCACAATCAGTCATGCAGGACTCCTGCATCACAACAGCACCCGCAGCAGAAAGGCCTCGCTGGAATATGCTTTCATCAGGGCTCAGCAGAGGGGGGATTCAAAAGGTGGAACCGGACAAAAAAGTTTACAAGGCAGGAACTACAAGGTACTTAAAAGAATCTGGTTAGCTACTTTAGATAAACAGAAAAAACTAGGAAAAAGAAGACAACAAAAAAAGTCTTTTAATACTGAAAGCATCACTTATAGCAGAAAGGAGACTACAAGTTCTCCAAGGGTGACTAAGGGGTACAGAGGAGAATGAGAAGAGGCAAAATTAAATTGTACTGGGGGGCAGGAAATTAAAACCCACCAAAGCCCAATAGCAAACACTTTGGATGCTGGAGTGGCTGTTATCAGAGGCTCTAGGAACGGGTTAGACAAACACCTGCCAGGAAAATCAGGGTAGAGAGGAACGAACTACACGATAAGATATCCATGCGCATTTAGGACCAGAAAGGAAATTGGGGCAGGCGCCAAGCTCCATACAGGGCATAACAGATTTCCTAACTGTGCTGTACAGAAGTGCAGCGTTGTATGCTATCTATTAGGGCAGCTCATCTAAAAATACCTTGTCATGCACAAAACACTCTCGCTAAGCAAAACTCATGATGAAGTCCAAATTAAGCTCTTTGGTTGTATCTAGGCCCCGTGCTGCTGCATGCATATGGCTTACGGATGTTGCAGATAAAAAGGATATCCTCTCTCTCAATCTGTTCATCAGTTGGCAGTTTAAATTGTTCGTCTATATCCAGGTTGAGCTGCAGATCTGTGCTCTCTTCCTCCTTCTGTCCCATTTTCTGCCTGCTTGCCTCCTCTGCTGCAGCTTCCTCTTCCTCCTCTTCCTCCTCCTCCTCCTCTTCACTATCATCTTCACTGAGGCCTCCCCTAAGGACAAAGAACAGGACGGATGTTTTACGCAAGAACGGTATCACACAGGCACTTCACAATTACTGTTTCTTAGATGGCAGAGAGGACAGAATAATGAACACAGGCTCCTCATCTGACCAGGAAAGACTCTGCGGACTGGCGATGTTCTCGAATCCTCACCTGTCAGACTTCTGCTTCAGGGCAGCTTTTTCAATAGGCAGCAACTAAACAGAGACAAAAGATTAATGAAACAATATCCCCAGGTTCCCCCTTACTTCCTGCCATCAGTGAAATTTATCTGCTCTGTTTAAAAAGGATAACAAACAAAAGCACCAAATATTATTATGCTGGGATCAATTGCTAAACTTGAAATTGTTCTTGTGAAGGAAAGAAGGGGAAAGCTCTCTGCCACCTCACCATCCACCCCCCCAGTAAAGTCACCCTTTTTTCCCCAGGCCTGATGGGTCCTTTCAGCCAGCAAAGTCAAGTATTCCTTGCGCAAAAGCTCCTACCTCTTCTTCCTCTGATGATGAGGCACCATAATCATCCACCATCTCGTCGCTGCTCCCATCCTCCTCCTCCTCCTCCATCTCCCAGCTGCCCTCTTCCACCTCACCATCGCTGGATAACTCCATGTTGTTTCCTTTAGAGGGGATTTTCTTGGCTTTGGCCGGAGCCAGCAATTTTGAATTGTCATCACTGAAGCCAGACCGGCCACGGGGGGGTTGTCCTGCTGCCTTGAGGGCATGTTTCTCCTTCTGTGAGGATACCTGCTCTTTATCTACAGGCAGAAGAAATGGTTAGAAGTTAGGTGTTACTCTCAAAAGCAGCTGCCCTATTTTTTTCGTTGTTATACAAGAGAGGCCTTCATCCTAGTCCTGAGATGCCTGTCCAAGAGAAGGGACTGCTGGCTTTCATCAGTTTTCTTAATCACAAACAAGAGCGTATTCTCACCTCTGCTCTGAGGAAACTTTAGAGATCTAACTAGAATTACCAAAGAAAAACACAGCTACAAAATTCTTATGGCATTTGCTCTGACGTATTACGGCACCCTCATTCCCAAATCTTTGTCTGTCCTTCCTTCTTCCTACTGCGACAGCTTCCCAGGCTAGGCGGGACGTTAACGTGGGGAGCGTAGAAATCCTCAGCGACCCCACCTCGCTGGGGTAAATCAGAAGCGGCTTTAACACGTGGAAAAGAAACCTTTTACGGGTCTGTTCTTCTGACAGCACCGCAGCGGCCAGAAATCATGAAAAATCCGTTTGAAATAATGACATTCCGCTTGTCCCACACCGGAGCTGGCAGCAGAACAGGGTGGCTGCCGGCCCCCGCCTGGCACTCACCTGCCGGCTCCGGCCTTCCTCCTCCTCCTCCTCCTCGCAGCCTCCTCCCCGCTCCCAGCCGCCTCTTCGCAGCCCTGGATGGGGAGGAGATGCGGCGGTCAGCCCCAGCCCGGCCCGGTCACCCCCCCCCCGTCCCCGCCACCCTCACCTCTTCCTCCCGTGACTGGAAAGCTTCTTCCTACCGGTCTCCGGTTCTGAGGAAAGACAGGCGGCGGGTCAGGCGGCAGCCCCGCACCGGCGGCAGCGGCAGAGCCTCCGGGCCGGCTCAGACGGGACTTACCTGGCGGCAGAAAGCGGGCCAGCTCCACCTCGGCCCCCCGCTGCTTACGGGCCTTGCGCCCGGGGCCGCGCTTCTCCTTCCTGGCGGGGTCCAGCTTCCGCCCCATGGCGCCGGCCTACCGGGACGGCCGCCGCACGTGCGGAGCTCCCCCACGCACCGGCGCATGCGCGGGGCCTCGGTCCCGCCTCCCTCCCCCCCGCCCATTGGCTAACGCCACCCGCTGCTGCTGGCTGAGTGGCTTGGGAGGTGACGTCAGGGGACGGGGCGGGGCGTCAGGAGAGGCGGGGAAGGCGCCCGGTCCCCGCGCCGGCGGGCAGGGGCTCGGCCGGGAACGGGGCGGGGAGGGCAGAATTCCAGGAGAAATGGAAGCCCGGAACCGGGGGATAGCACAGGGAAGGGTAAGGGATCCCTCTCCCGCTTCTGTTCAAGAATAAAATACTTGGAATAAAATACAAGGAAACTTTATTTTTCAGTTTTACCAAGGTTTTGCTCTGTTTTTTTGACTTTTTTTTTTTGTACGGTTGCTTTTTGTCTTCAAGCTGCTTATTAGTGGACAAGTCCGGTCAGTTTTTGTATTAAAAAGGATCTTGATGGAGGTAGCTTTGTCTCTGTCCTGGCTTTTGCTTGGTCTTGCCTGCGCACTCGTCTCAGTAAACAAACTCAAAATAAAATTAAAAAGGAAAACTGGAATTCCAGGCGGAGGCAGCGAGCAACGCAGCCAGGTTCTCCGTGTAACAGACATGGCGCTGTGGCCTCCAGTCACTATGTACAGAGTCCATCATACATCCCCCTCTCTCCTAAGCACACTCCTTGCTCCAACGGGCTGGCTGCAGGGGAAGGAGTTTCTCCTCCTCCTCCTCCCCGGAGACCTGCGGCAGCAGCTTCCATGGAGGGAAACAGCACCCAGTCAGGAATGTCAGACAGAGGGGTAGATTGTGAAGGGGTGGGGCGGGGGGGGTCACTTCAGCTTGGCCAAAAGGTCAACAGCACTGGGCCAGGGACTCACTGCTGCTGGGCCACCTGTAGGGCGAGAGAAGGCGAGCTGAGACTTGAAGGCTCGTCAGTGGACCCCAGCTTTCCCCACAGAGCCAGGTAGCTCCGCTTATACTGACCAGAGGGGGTACGTACTTGTTGGGGAGGTGGCAGCGGAGGGGGCTCGCTGCTGCGGTTGGCCAGCCGGCTGAGGATGTTGCGCTCAGACATCTGGAGGCGTACTGCCACGGGTGGGATACGGGCAATGGTGGCTGGCAAACGAGTCACATCGGCCTTCATGTCACTCAAAAGCTCCTCCAGCTGCTTCAGAACTGGAAGAGAAAGGGACATCTGTTCAGAGGGGAAAGGGACACCCCACAGGGAAAAAGACCAGAAGGGGACAGCGATGCAAAAACACCTCTCCCAATTACCTTTGTGCAGCACAGCGTTGGCCGGTTTATTCCCAGCCATTGACTCCTTGGATAGGTGCTGGTGGCTCTCAGCCAGGCATTCCACCTCTGCAAAACGCGTGTTCAGAGCCATAGACGGATGAGATGGGTCCTCGGACATGTTCAAATAGGCGGCTCGCCGCAGCTGCTCCTCGATCACCAGCGCTTGCTCCAGGAGCTGCAAGATGGGGCAGTAATGAGAAGTTTCTTCTCAGCAGTTGCCTGCAAAGCAGCCCGTTTGCACCCCCAGTCTCTCCTGATCCAGTTCTCCACTACCTCAGGCTGCGAGATTCTGCAGCTGAACTTCCTTTCACCAGCTTGTTTAGGCTTTACTCAATATAAAGAGCCCAAAACAATTAAGGACTCCATTAAGCTAGGCCAGGTACACAAAAAAAGCAGGCTACATTTAGTTTAACAGAAGACTACCATAAATCCTCTAGGATTCTCATTCCTTCTCAGATTCTTTTTAAAGACCAAGTTGTTTGCCATTTTACTCTTTCTTTATGGAGCAAAGTGGATGGAGCTTTCTCTTTGAATCCAAGTGAGAAGTATCCCACGCTACTTGCAGGGAGTCCACAAACCGTTAAGCATTTCAGGGGCATTTGGAGAAATCAATCTGAATCGTGTTACTGCGGAACTGATCAGCCAGACTACACTGAATTAATGTTTTGCCCCACAACCGAGAACTACATGGCCTTTATTTGGGTTGGTCTTAAATCACTCCCAGAACTAAGCTACAGTCACTCCCAAACAGGTTGAGGCAGAGACTGAAGGCAACCCTTTCACCAATCCATACAGTGTTTCTAAGTTCTGCTTAGGCACTCTGAGTGGGTTGTAGCACACCAGGCACAAGCTGTGATGCAAACAGCCACTTGAACCTTAAGCATCCCGCATACCAGTTGTTGAATAAACATTTGGAGAGAGAGTGCTGAACCCAGCTCCCCAATACCATTTCTAGAGTAAAGGGAGCTCCTATCATGGAGCTACTGCATGATCCTGAGAGATACTGCTGATCTTTCTCCCCCTAAAATGAAAGGCACTGCAGAAGCCTTCACTTTCTTAGCAGAAACTCAGAACAGCAAGCTCTTGTTCTTAGAGGTGCAGCTGGCTGAAAGGCACTTACCACACTGAAGAGAAATCCTTACCTTAAATCTCCTTGCCAAGAACTTATTCTTTATTTCCAGGAAGTTGCCCCTGTTCATCTCACCCTTGAAGGGTTCATTGAGGATGGCGTAACGTGGATCATTCTGAATATCCTGCCAACGGGCATAGCCATGACTGAGATGGGATGAGCTCAGGCAAACAAAGGCAGTGAGAACAAGGGAATACACAGCCCAGGCAGATACAGTTCTCAAGAGGGGGTGGGGAGAGGGGGTGCAGAGAGGGGAGGAACAGGAGCCAAGGAAAAGGAATGAGAACTATGTCCTGCTAAGTCTTAACTATGCTGGCAGGAAACTCCTCCTCCCACCATCACTTTCACTCTTGTGAAAGAAGGTAAAGCATTCTCTCACTTAATGTACTCCAGTCAGACCCCCGGATGGTCACCTTCACCGTGATAGTTCATGTACAAGGGGAGAGAACTGGTCTGTCAGGGCAAGGATACTTGATAATCCCAGCAAGGAGCCAGTAGTCATGACGCCGATGCCAGATCTCGTAGGTCTTCTTTGTGACAGTTGCAGCCCGCTCTTCATTCTGCCATAGGGAGTGTAGTTCTGGGAAGGCGAGAGACACCAAAACAGTTGAAAGTTATTTCACAAACACAAGCAGGGACATATAAACAAGTTCAAGCATATGAAGACTTCTCGTACCAGTGAAGCCACCATCTGCTATGTTGAACATGAAGCGCTGCTTTACTGCCTTCTTGTGCCTTTCATCTACTGACTCTTTCAGCATCTCTCCATTCTGCAGCATCACGACATCCCTCTTATCATCATCCTTTTTCTCATCTGTACACACAGGAAATTATTAGGAAGAACATGGCAGATACTACAGCAAGCTGGACCCACAAGGGATCCTTGCAGGAGAGGAGTTAAGGAAGAGAATGGAATTACTGTGACTCACCTTTCTCATCCAGAGTGATGATAGGAGGTTCAGGGGGATTCTCAATAGGTGCTCTGTCTTCCACTTTCTCCACATCAGCTACAGGAGAGAAGGGGAACATGAGACATAGGGGAACATGACAAGACCAAGGTTTTGTTCTTCAGCCTGTGAAACCTAATACTGTTCCCTAACTCCCTGTTCAAAGTTCCTGGAATAGCCCCACTGACTGTCTACATTTACACCTGTTTCTTTACATTGAAGTGCTGAAGCAAAGAAGATGCAGCTTTAGGAAAATAATATTTGAGGTGGAGGGGGAGTTATTGCTGTTCAAGGTATTAAACAACCTCCCTAGAGATACCTTTGCTTTCTACTTCCATTGGCTCATCTGGTCTCTCCTTCATCTCCGGTTCCTCTACTTTTTTTTCATCTGCTTCTGTGGGGTTCACCGGGGATTTTGCTTCCTGTGGTGGCGTCTCCACAGGTTGGGCACACTGCTGAAGACAGAAATCAATGAGAAGCGAGGTAAAGCAGTGCATGGCAACAGAAGACAGTCACAGCAGTCTGGAAAGCAAAGACACACAAAACTGTCAGGCCAATTCTGAGGACCTGAGAACTATCCTTAACTATCATTCCAAGAGCTCACCTCTGTCTCAGCAGCTGAGTAACACAGAAGAAGGGGCAGAAGTAGAGATGTTTCCAAGTGCATGAGGCAAACAAGCAACCCAACACTCACCTCCATAGGGACCTCTGTTTCAGTAGCAGCAGCACTGAGCTCTTTCTCTGGTTCAGATGACTCTCCTTGCTCCTTAGCACTGGCTCCTTCTTCTACTTTTATTCCTTCCTCTGTGTGTTCCACATCCCAGAGCAGCACAGCAGACAAAAGAAGAGAAGTCATCAGTAGGGTCTTTCCCTCACTGTTACCAAGCACACATCTCCTTTGCTCCCAGAGACTAGGCCCATCAAAATGGGACCAACACCACTCAAGATGACCTGCCCTTTCCAGCCCACTTGAAATGCTGGGCTTCTCTTCTCCCTGATGTCAGCTCATCCATGGAAAGCTAGTGTCCTCTCTTGCCTTTAAGGGCTTGCCACATGTCTTTGGCAGCCCTCCTAACATGAGAGGTAAGTTGATCTGCGTCCACCCCCAGACCCCACCACCACAGCTCCGGTGAGGGGAACAGCCAGGATGAGGTCAGGACACAGGACTGTACAAGAGGGGAGCTCTCACCGGGTGGAGGGACAGGGGCAGGCGTATTTGGCTGCGTATCGCCTGGTGTCGAAGGAGTTGGAGTTTTGGGAGAGGGCGAGCTTGGCTGCGAAAGTTTCTTGTTCTCCTCTATCTCTGCCAGTTCTGGCATACTCCAACGGCCATTCACATGCTCAAACTCCTGTACCTGCACAAGAAGGAGAGAAAGACATCATCATCGGAGGAGTCACACAAAGCTTGTCCTCAAACCACAAGAGACAGACCACTCAGCACACAACAAAAATAGGTGTGAAAGGAGCTCAGGATGCCAGTGACTACAAGTTCTATGAAAAGCAAAGGCTACATTGCTCTGCTAGGCGCCTTACCTTTTTGCGTATAAGTGACATAACCCCAATGCGAGTAAGGACATGCTGTCGAGAAAGACCTTCCCGTGGGACCC